CCTGTCTGAGTTCTTCAGCTCTCACAGCACCAGCCTCTGCACAGACCTCTCAAGTCACCCATCACCAGCATGCCCTCCTCAGCAGCATGGGCCCAGGCCCACAGGACTCTACCAAGCTGACACACCAGGACCAGCCAGTCACCCTTCCTCAGGTGCTTGAGTTTCAGCTTCACAGGGTTTCTTCTCTAAGCTTCTAAAGTTTTAGTAATTCCAACCTTTTCTCTTTGCTCTTCCAGCCTCCACAGCTGCTACCTTAGTTTCTTGCCTTTTCAGTTCCTGGTTAACACTTTATATCTAGTTAACAATTATTTTATTATTCCCTGTTAAAAATAACCATGATTTATGTCTCCTAACTGGATCCTGATGCAGAAATTGGTACTAGGAGTGGGGTTTATATCCCAACTTCTGGGATGTTTACTAGGAAATAGCAAGTAGTTTAGATGCTGCTACGGATTGAATGTTTATCTCCTCCAAAGCTCATTTTGGGAGCTTGATTCCCAATGTGGCAGTGTTGAAAGATGGGGCCTTTAAGTGGTGATTGGATCATGAGGACTATGCTCTCATGAATGGATTAATCCATTCATAGAGTAATGGTAATGGTTATCATGGCTGTAGACAAATGGCTTTATATGGAGAGTAATGAAAATGCTCTTGCCATTCTCACCATGGGACTCTCTGTGTTACCACAGGACACTGTAGAGAGTTCCCTCGAGGAAGGTGGCCCTCACTAGATGTGCCCCCAGTCCTTGGACTTCCTAGCCTTCAATACTATAAGAAATAAATTTCATTTTCTTATAAATTACCCAGTTTCAAGTATTGTTATAAGCAACAAAAAACAAACTACATAAATGCCTTAGTAAGTGATTTGATCAAACTTAATACTACCAACAATGAGACAACTGACATCTTTGGGTCTTTGGGTCTTGAGGTGGCAACTACAAGTTGAGGATAGAACAAGACATAAAGTGCCTTTCGACCCGGATGACCACGGAGCCACCACTAACAGCCCTGGGCTTCTTTTACTAGGGAGAGAAATAAACTTTCTCCTTTGTGCTTGAAGTTTTCTGTTACTCATTTTAACCTAACCCTAATTAATACAGGTTCATATACTCTGGTCTTCAAAGGCAATCCACCAAAACTAAATCATTTATTTCAGACTTAAGAAATGAAGTAACAGTTAAGGCACTTGTCTCATCACAGTCAGAGAAAGGTGGTAGGGAATCAATGCCAAGTAGAATACTACCATGTCAAGAAAAGTTACATATATTTATTTGGAAAATGAGATCAGTTAATAAACACTACAAAATGCTTAAGAAGTCAGGCAATGTACACATTACATGCATTATTTAATTTAATCCTCATGAAAATCTTGTGACATAAATACCATTATCATCACCAATCTTTAGATTAGAGAACTGAGGTTTAGAAACATTAAATAACCCAGGTCACACAACTCTCAGGTGGTAGAGCTAGAATCAGAACTCAAGCAGGTCTGGTTCCAAAGCATATGCTCCTAATCACCACACTATATTACACTCAGGAGGTAATAAACCAACTAAGATCTCTATGTCTAGTGGTAACTTAGAATTTAAAGTCTTTCTGTATGTTAGACAGCAATTCTCTGTAAACCACAACAAAATAACTAAGAAAAACCAAAGATTCTAAACAAGTTTAGAATCAAATTCCGAGAAGTTTAGAATCTCTTACCAACTCTGTACTCCCAAGCTGACATTATTTCCAAAAAGCTGGCAAGCCCAACTACACTGAGGCTGACTGGGAGCTTGCCAGAAACCAAGACCTTAGCTAAAAGAAAATTATCTCCCTTCCAAATCAATAAGGTACATATAAGGCCCATCATAGGACTGTTCAACTAACAGACAATATCGACTGTCATTCCCAGAAACTGGTTCCCCCAAAATTTTTAATTGAAATTACATTTAATAAAGGCTTCTAGAAAAAGACATCAAATCAATAGGCACTTGTTCTTATAGGTGGAAGTTAGATCTCTAATGGTCCTTGTACACAGCACAGGCTCTCCCTGACATTTCCAAAGGTCCATTATCCTTAGTGCTAAACTAAACTGTATTAGTTCACTTTAGGAACCAAACTAGCAACTCAGATGCCAACTATTATTTTGCAAAGCAGGACACAGTTAGTTGAAAATTATATTTTTCCAATTAGCACAGTGGGAAACTCTGCAGAGGCATTCAGCCCAAGCCTGCAATTAGAGAACACTTGCTTGCTTCTAGAAATAGAATGAATGGGAAGTAGAGACCTGCTATCTAGGTCTTTTGCAATAATACCCCGGGAAGGGAGATCTTGCTACAATTTCAGCGGTTCCCAGAAAATAAACCATCTTGCTCCTTTTAATAAGTGTACTAGCATTCCGCACTGCACCATAGTTATGTCCAGAAGATTAAGAAATCCAGCACCATCTCTGAATATAACAAAAGGGGCTTACACAAAAGTCCAGTCATTAGAAAGGCAAGAACTACTGCCAATGAGCAGGTCTAGTGACTCATTTTAGTAGTTATTTTTAAAATCTGTTAATTTACTATTTGAGAGTCCAGAAGATTAAGAAATCCAGCACCATCTCTGAATATAACAAAAGGGGCTTACACAAAAGCCCAATCATTAGAAAGGCAAGAACTACTGCCAATGAGCAGGTCTAGTGACTCATTTTAGTAGTTATTTTTAAAATCTGTTAATTTACTATTTGAGATGAGTCTCAAGTTTCCATTTGTTAAGAAAGTAAGTTTGGTATGAGCACCTCCGCAATCTCCAGCTGCCTTACCCTTCTCAGCTTTTCAGTGATCTCATTATGTCTCAGGTGAGACGATGGAAGGTTGAAGAATTTAGATCTCTCAAGTAGAAGTGAAGATAAAGGCAGAGAATAGTATTAAAATAAGAAACGACATTCACACCATGGGTATGAGTTTCAGTAACCTCATTGAAATTTAGAGCACTGAACAAGATTTTGGTAAGTCAAGAGAAAACCATTGGCAATTTAGATATTTGCAAATATAACATACTCTGCACAAACATTACAGTGGACAAAGTGTTCTAACAGACCACGCATCCCCACACCAGAAGCGTATACAGGAAATGCCACAATCTAGCTTTTCGTGAATGAGAGTCTTAATTTTGTCACCTTTGACCTTTAAGTAGTTCATGTTGCCTAAAGGTGAGTAAGGTACAAATGAGAACAAATCCTCTTATTTCCTGTCATCAGGAAATGAACTGCTGAAAGCACTAGCTTGGCCTGAAGTTTAGCCCAGCCTGCAACACTTACAGCAACTTGCAATCACCTGCATGATTATGTAACATCTATCTAGTCCTCAGCTACTATAGGTTAACCAGATGACTCAACATTGACATTTATTGTGTGAATGAAACCATTTAATTTTTAGATACCAAGGGGCCTTTACTAAGGAATAAACAGCTTCATCCCAGAAAGAAGATTCTACAAGTTCTTGTGTGTACATATGTACACATATGCATAGGTGAAATATTTAAGATATCCAAACTATTTATAGTGGTTTCCCTTGGGTAATGGGACTGGGAAGGTAAAAGCGAATTCACAGCCCAGAAGGAAAGGGATCTCTTTAGGAACGAGTGGAAACCTGTTTGATGATCAAAGGCAAACTTTCACATTTTCATTCAGGTCCCCAGGAGAATCTGGAACATAACCCAACACTAGTGCTAAAAGTTAGCTTGTAGTAGGAGATTAACTTTTTTTTCCCCTCAGCTGTCCTACCCCGAGACAAGAGGACAATATCGAGGAGGGTGCTATTCTCTACTTAATCGGAGGACTCTGGAAGAATCTGGGCTTAGGAGAGGTCATAGAGCAAACAAGCGGGGAGGCCAGTACCAGAACTGAGGGGTCTCCTCCCAGAAGCTCAGCTCAGAGCTTAATGCTCAGCTGCCCTTCACCACAGGCCCACCTCTTCCTCAAATAGGAAGTCATAAAGCTGTTTTTAGGCAACCCCAAAAGCTACAACTCTTTGCTAACATATAGTATTGGGGAAGTACAGAAGTTCTCCAGGCCTGTTTCATCATCTACAAAGTAAGGCTAAGACCTACCACAAAAGGTCCTGAGGACTAAATGTATATAAAAAGCTTAGTACAGTGCCTAACACTAAATGGTGAACAGGGCTGGCAGTTAGCTCAGTTGGTTAGAGCGTGGTACCGATAATACCAACATCCAGGGTTCAATCCCTGTACCAGCCAGCCGCCAAAAAAATAAAATACAATAAATGGTGAAAATTTATTGAGAACTCTTCAGTAGTAAGATTATTAAATTGACAACAGGATACAATGGCATGTACTCAACCAGTGGTCTAACCTCTCAGGCATAGCTCAGACTAGGGATAGCCTTATCCTGTTTCTATTAAAATACTCTAAATAACTCAAAAACTCAGAATAGGAATCATCAACTGAGTGTGCAAAGAAATGTGCTTTTCATTAACTGTTCTGATCCAGGGTAAAGAGATAAACGGTCAAGATTGAACAACCCAACACAGAATTTTAAAATAAAGCTGAGCTACAAACACACGCGTGTGCACTCTTTGTAGCTTTCTATGTATTAAAAAAGCTAGAAACTATCTACACAAAATAAGTCACAGCAAAATAGTCCATTCAAACAAGAAGACTTCAGGTATTAAAAACGAGTAGATCTTTATGTGGTAACATGAAAATGTCTAGGCTGTGCCATTAAAGAGGAAAGTGCCAAATTGCTACAATAGTCCCTATGGAGTAATGTCGTGCATGTTGTAGGATCACAAAAAAACATAACACCAAGGTCAAGGGTTCAGATCCCCAACCAGTCCACCACCAAAAAAAATCCCCCAAAATCAAAACATGAAAACAAAAAGAAACGTAACAGGGAGAAGTAGGGGACTGTAAGTTGCATAGACATTTACATTCTCCTAAGAATGACATAAGGCTAACTGATCTGGAGCACAGATGATTTAAATATGAACAAAAACCACAAGAACAACTTTTCTAAAAACTGTAGGCTTTTTTATTTAATTAAGAGGTAGACAGATGAACATGGAAGGCTATCCCATTTAATTTGCCCAAAACTCATATTCCACTTCATTCATCCATCCCACACTGCCAGAAGTCTTAAATGATCAAGATTGCCAAGTCTTTTTTTTCCTACTTCTTCTTAGCAACAGTTAATGAATTGCCTGTAAAGAAGTTACTACTAACTTAAATTTTCACTGTGTCCAAAGAACTTCATCCCTCTAAGAATTTCCCATACATGCCAACAGAACTTGCCACTACTGACAGGAGGGCATAATTCAATGACTCTATTTCTACAAGAGACTACAAGGAAAGTTTCAGTTACATTTTTTGTTGTTAAATCCCTGTGCGTGTTAGGGCAGAAGCTGGTGAAATCAACAAAGCAGAGCACGCTATCAAATGACTCTGCATGGTTGTATTAAAAAAAAAAAAAAAGCAAACACAAAAACAAAAAACACACAAGCTATTTTCAGAGACAACATTAAAACATAATGGAATTGAAGCCTCATACAAAAAGTAGAGAAATATGTACAGGAATTCACAGCCCAGAAGGAAAGGGATCTCTTTAGGAACGAGTGGAAACCTGTTTGATGATCAAAGGCAAACTTTCACATTTTCATTCAGGTCCCCAGGAGAATCTGGAACATAACCCAACACTAGTGCTAAAAGTTAGCTTGTAGTAGGAGATTAACTTTTTTTTCCCCTCAGCTGTCCTACCCCGAGACAAGAGGACAATATCGAGGAGGGTGCTATTCTCTACTTAATCGGAGGACTCTGGAAGAATCTGGGCTTAGGAGAGGTCATAGAGCAAACAAGCGGGGAGGCCAGTACCAGAACTGAGGGGTCTCCTCCCAGAAGCTCAGCTCAGAGCTTAATGCTCAGCTGCCCTTCACCACAGGCCCACCTCTTCCTCAAATAGGAAGTCATAAAGCTGTTTTTAGGCAACCCCAAAAGCTACAACTCTTTGCTAACATATAGTATTGGGGAAGTACAGAAGTTCTCCAGGCCTGTTTCATCATCTACAAAGTAAGGCTAAGACCTACCACAAAAGGTCCTGAGGACTAAATGTATATAAAAAGCTTAGTACAGTGCCTAACACTAAATGGTGAACAGGGCTGGCAGTTAGCTCAGTTGGTTAGAGCGTGGTACCGATAATACCAACATCCAGGGTTCAATCCCTGTACCAGCCAGCCGCCAAAAAAATAAAATACAATAAATGGTGAAAATTTATTGAGAACTCTTCAGTAGTAAGATTATTAAATTGACAACAGGATACAATGGCATGTACTCAACCAGTGGTCTAACCTCTCAGGCATAGCTCAGACTAGGGATAGCCTTATCCTGTTTCTATTAAAATACTCTAAATAACTCAAAAACTCAGAATAGGAATCATCAACTGAGTGTGCAAAGAAATGTGCTTTTCATTAACTGTTCTGATCCAGGGTAAAGAGATAAACGGTCAAGATTGAACAACCCAACACAGAATTTTAAAATAAAGCTGAGCTACAAACACACGCGTGTGCACTCTTTGTAGCTTTCTATGTATTAAAAAAGCTAGAAACTATCTACACAAAATAAGTCACAGCAAAATAGTCCATTCAAACAAGAAGACTTCAGGTATTAAAAACGAGTAGATCTTTATGTGGTAACATGAAAATGTCTAGGCTGTGCCATTAAAGAGGAAAGTGCCAAATTGCTACAATAGTCCCTATGGAGTAATGTCGTGCATGTTGTAGGATCACAAAAAAACATAACACCAAGGTCAAGGGTTCAGATCCCCAACCAGTCCACCACCAAAAAAAATCCCCCAAAATCAAAACATGAAAACAAAAAGAAACGTAACAGGGAGAAGTAGGGGACTGTAAGTTGCATAGACATTTACATTCTCCTAAGAATGACATAAGGCTAACTGATCTGGAGCACAGATGATTTAAATATGAACAAAAACCACAAGAACAACTTTTCTAAAAACTGTAGGCTTTTTTATTTAATTAAGAGGTAGACAGATGAACATGGAAGGCTATCCCATTTAATTTGCCCAAAACTCATATTCCACTTCATTCATCCATCCCACACTGCCAGAAGTCTTAAATGATCAAGATTGCCAAGTCTTTTTTTTCCTACTTCTTCTTAGCAACAGTTAATGAATTGCCTGTAAAGAAGTTACTACTAACTTAAATTTTCACTGTGTCCAAAGAACTTCATCCCTCTAAGAATTTCCCATACATGCCAACAGAACTTGCCACTACTGACAGGAGGGCATAATTCAATGACTCTATTTCTACAAGAGACTACAAGGAAAGTTTCAGTTACATTTTTTGTTGTTAAATCCCTGTGCGTGTTAGGGCAGAAGCTGGTGAAATCAACAAAGCAGAGCACGCTATCAAATGACTCTGCATGGTTGTATTAAAAAAAAAAAAAAAGCAAACACAAAAACAAAAAACACACAAGCTATTTTCAGAGACAACATTAAAACATAATGGAATTGAAGCCTCATACAAAAAGTAGAGAAATATGTACAGGAATTCACAGCCCAGAAGGAAAGGGATCTCTTTAGGAACGAGTGGAAACCTGGCTATTTTACACAGCTAATTTTGAGACAAGTCATATTTAGCACAAAAGCGATTATAGCACAAGTAACACTTCCCTCCCCCAGCTCCCAAACTTTAAAAAGACTATTGTCAGTCTTCGATAACACTGTAATCATTCTTCAAGGGAGCAGGAATATGTAAGGTGGTCCCAAACATTGACACGAACTTTAATCTCACTCAGCTTCACACGCTGATGATGACATATTTGAAGACTGCCATGACAGCAGCACTGATAACACCAGAAATGGGGACTGTGACAAACCAGGCCATAAAAATGTTGCGAAAGAGTCGCCAATCAACAGCCTTCTTGGATCGGAGCCAGCCAACGGATACAACAGATCCCACCTAGGAGAGAAAGACAAAGGAAAACTGGTTACTAAAACTGTATGAGGCCAATTCCATGAAAGCTGGTTTATAACAGGTTAAGATTACTTGTGGGAAGATGAAGGCAACATAAAAATCCAATCGTTAAATCTGTGCTAATTATGATAAAACGACATGAGAACACTTTCTTTTTCCCTTCTGAGCTACTAGAATTTAATGAACATGTACTGCTTTTGGTAATAAATTAAGTTTTGGGTTTTCCAAAGATCATTTAGAGGGCAGCTGATATTAGCCCTAAAAGATGATCTCCTGCCCAGATATCCTGACAGAAACAATGACTCAGCAGGCTCCACGACGGATGAACTGAAGTTCTCTTAAGGAAGCCAGTTTCTTCCTCTTCCTGTCATTATTATATAGTGACCAAGCAACCTTAATATTCAATAAGTTTCTCAGTACTTCAATCCTGAGAGGCCCTGAATTCTCTTAAGGAAGCCAGTTTCTTCCTCTTCCTGTCATTATTATATAGTGACCAAGCAACCTTTATATTCAATAAGTTTCTCAGTACTTCAATCCTGAGAGGCCCTGAATATGCCTTCTGTAAATAAACTGTCCTTCCAACAGTCCAACAAGCTTCACAGACTTTTTAAAACCAGGGCTTCAAGCTATCACCCACCTAGCCAGAACCAAACTACTAACAAGTTTATTAGCACATACCCAAACGACACTGAATGGCTTTCCCCAAAGAAAAAGAACATAATGGTGCTAAGCAGAAATGACTCTTGACATATGAGGGAGGATTAAGTAACAAAGGAAGAGGTCAATAGCCAGAAATCATAGCTAGCTCTCTATAAAAGAACTTTCCTAATACTTGGGGAGAATATATATTTAACTGCTTACATAAATAAGAACAGATGCAAAAAATTATAAAACATAAGCCTTTATTCTTGTGGTCACTTGTCCTAAACTTGTAAACTCTTCAAAAGACTCCAACTGCACAAAACTTTCTAAAGCAAAATATTGCAGAAATAAAATAAAAATCCCTACATTATTACCAGAAACCATTCAAAAGATACATTATATTCCCATGACACTTACTTTGCAATGTGTTGTACTAATGGGAAGGCCGATATTTGATGCAATTACCACAGTGAGAGCAGATGCCAGTTCAATACTGAAGCCACTACAGACACAAAAAAATTCTGGTGAAGAATTTAGTTTCATCTTTTGGATAAGCTAACACTACCTCAAGTTAACATAATCCTGCTTTGTTCTACCTAGTGACAAAACCTCCACTGACATCTTTATTTGCTATAACTCCTGAAACCTAGTATAAACAGGGCCATAGGACTCCCCTTTACCCTAACGCTTGATGTTTTAAGTTCTTGTGGAAGTTCATTATTAAAGTTTGCACTTCTATTTTGAAGAATTAAACAGTCTTAGCTCCCAAGTAAAGGCAAATAAAAGCCAAGTATACACAGCTATTCACTCTTAGCACATACATTTTTCTCAAAAGTTATTTTGACCAAAATGTTTAAGGGTTAAACAATAAGTAAAATCTAAAAAGTTCACACCAATAATGAGAATAACATCTGGAAACTTGTACTCTAACCAGACTTGTGTGTTAGCACTACACAGTATTACATCTCTTAAAATGAGTATTAGCCTAAGACCTGCTTTCCCAACTTACCTAGAGGGTGTGATTGGTGTCAGATCCTTTCCCATTGTCTGGATAACTCTCCTTCCCCAAACCCACAGACCAATACAGATACCAACACCACCATAGAGTAGAAGCCATATTGGTGTTGCCACTTTTGAAGAAACATCTCCTGTGTCATAAACCAGATACAAAGCAACCAGAGGACCAATGGCATTGCTGGAAGAAAAGAGGACAAAGAAGACTTCTCAGGAAGAACTAGATCTTAGCAAAATCCAATTTGCTGAATGACTTCCTAGGTTGTCTAAAGCATAGCTTTCAAGCTCATTCAGTACACAAGCCTTTCTTTCAAAGGCAATAAAAGGAACCCCAACATTCACAACAGAAGAGAATGAAAGCTGTTCTGATGGAGCGGAGTGCCAAGCATTTGGGGTCCTCTTTCCTCCTACAGGTAGCTTAAAGCAATTCCTGGGTTCTAATGAACAGTTTACAAACCACAGAACTAAGACTAACGACCTACAAATTCATTTTACAGGACAGTGATTTAAGTTTTTCATCTTACATCCCACAATTTACTATCAAAGAACTAGATAACATCTTGATAGGCAAAAGGCTTCTCTGTGAAAGACATCTGCGTTTATATTTAACAGAAGTAAAGTTTAAAATATTTTTTGTAATCTCTCTAAAGAATAAAACTTTACTGTTTTATTAAGTTAATAACGGCTATTACCTCAACCTATCTACATTATTCAGTGTACCATGGGAGGCAGAGTACTACTATCACAAGCACAGGCTTATAAAAATGATAAGACAGTTTTAAAAGTCAGCAATACTAAGATTCAAAGTCGACTGACCTGACGTCATTGCCACCATGGGCAAATGACCCGAAGCAGGCTGTAAGGATCTGCAAGAACTGGAAGAGGAGAGAGACTTCAGGCTTATCCTGGTCATACCATTCTTCTAGAGAGCCACTACTTCCTTTTCTGTTGCCCAGACCCATCTCTGCCTTGACACTGATGTCCAGCTCAGATGCCGAATGAAGGTCTGACACAGCATTGCAGTAACTGGTGTAACTGTCCATTCGAATTCGCTTCTTGGTGTCTGCATTAGGCCACGTCAGCTTCTCCATTTCTTCACCCTTCTGTTCACCTTCTTTGGCACGGAATGAATCCAGAGGCATGCCACATATTGCCATGGTATAGGAAGTATAGCTATTATTTCGCCTCAAGGGTTTGTCACCAGAGTCTCCCATGCAGTCTCCCACCTTGGCTAGATGTAATTTATGGAGCAGCTCTTTGTACAAGCCAGAATCTTTATGCACGGTGTGATACTGATAGTGGCCACTGGAGTTTATCTGGTTGCTGACGGCTTGACTGAACTGAACAAGGTTCCCACTGGGCAACTGCACTGCACCTAGCCAAGAACAAACAGGTAACATTCAATACAAAGAGCACCAAGTCCAAAACTTCCTCACTTCTACACAGGTAACAAAGTGAAACTCTAGGAATTTCAACTCACTGTCGATGGTGCCATCTATGCTGGTTTCTTCTTTCAGGTCCACACTGGGAAGCCTCTCTCGCTCTGGAGCTTCCTCCAAATCTCCAAGTTTGAAGGAGACTGTTCTCTCCTCCACCACAGCTCGGAGGGGCACAGTGGTGGGCCCTACCTCAGAAACAGGATTCCTGCTTTCACCATCACCAAGAGACAACTTTGTTTCTTCATGGTCTTCTTTCAAGCTATTCTTTTTGTCCATTAAGGGGCTTTCAGAAGGACTACACTTTATTTCTCCTAGAAGAAAAGGGTTTTTTTGGTTTGGTTTTGACCAAACTACCTTGTTCTGTTCCACACATCTCCCCCCCGCTTGTTCTCCCACCCCGAAAAACCCATCTCAAAATAAGAAAGTATGTAAACTTCAGATAAAATTCAGGAGGATTTTCCTGCCTGCTTTATTATTTGCCAACAACTCATCTTTCACTCAAGAACCAGCAATGCAGTACACCCTGTAAAAAGGGTAGCAAATTTTTGTTGTAAAGGGCCAGAGAGTAAACATTTTAGGTTTTGCAGGCTCTGATGCATCACACTTGTTTTTGTTTTCATTTTTACAACTTCTCCAAATGAAAGGACTCTCTTCCCTCCCTGCCGACCCATTCTATAGTGGAAAGTGGCTCAAGCATTCCGGACAACTAGAAACCTGCACCTGATTCATGTTCTTTTCAAAAAAGGACTCTCCCAAATTTCAGTCCAAGAGTTCAAAGTGACACAGCTCAAGGGAGACAACTAAAGATGAACACTTAAATGTCCACCTCTATAAAACAGAGATGTGCCTCACTGTTCTAAATCCCATGACAAGATAGGAATATTTTCTGCCTTTCATGCCAGTGCTCAGTATGTTTACCTATCGGTTCAGCACCTCAAACTAGACGAGCATTAAATCCAGACTTGTCTCATCTCCCAGAGTGGTGGAAAAATGAGGTCAGGGAGTTTTTGAAAGCCTCATTCCCACTGTGCACCCGGCACAGCCAGACTAGCACAGATCCTCTCGGAAGCTCCTCAATTCAGCTGCAGTGACGCAGCATTCTTCCTAATGCCACTGCAGTCCGTGCATCCCTCCGCTCCCAAAGCACAGACTGTGAATCACTCGCCTAGCCTTGCAGACAGAAAGAGGCAGAAAATGACTCTTCTAAAGAGAGCTGGCCAGTTAAAAAAGGAATGCAAGATTTAAATAAGACTAATACTAACCAAAATTTACTTGCTACTTAATCACACAATAATATGTGGTAATGGTCTGATTCCTTCACATGACACTTGAGAATGGCTACTTTTAGACTTTGAGCTACAATTCTAGCATGAGTACTGTGTATCTGTATATGAATTTGTATTAAACGACATGGGTATTTGTAATACAACATGTGTACATGTATTCTAGCACACATACACTATCAGATAAACACATTTCACTTAGCTTTGCTTGTCTGAATTTGAAATCATGAACAGCGTAGTTGGGGCAAATGTTTCCTCTACGAAAATATTTTTTATTAGGTACCTCAAATTTTTTTTTTAATGACTACAATTTCTCTGTATTTACTATGTCACTGGCAACTGACCAAGGTACATTGAAAAAATAGACTAAATGACCTGCTTGTCTCTACCACAGGTCGAATACTCTTTATGACTAGGGCTCAGGTCATTTTAAGTCCATTTAAGAACATAGCCTGGACAACAAACCCATATCCTCAAATTTCCATTTAAAATCTTTGTCAATCTACCCAAATAGATTTTTACAGGTGGCCAAACAAAAAGAAATAAGCAGAACATTAGTAGTTTAATTTTTCCACTGCAATTTATTACTTACGTTCGATTTTTCTCTTCATCCTGGGACATACAAAGAACCAGACGATAAGGGCACAGAAAACTGCACAGCCCACCGAGATGAGGATGGTACCCCACAGAGGAAGTTTGTCAAAGCCCAGCACTAGGAGATAAAATGGTGCATCTTGAAAACCCCAGGGCAACGGCCCCCTGCAATAATGTGTAAACCCTCCTCTGGGGACTCTGAGGGGTTCCCCAAGCCAGCCCATCACCCTCGACAGCTGCTGTCGGCTAGAATTCCGCAGGGCTTACTGTGCTAATGGCTACACAAATTTGGGAGAAAAATCCAGCGATCATAGTAAACACACCTCAGCTTGGTCCACCTGAACATCTGCTAGACTCAAGTGCTCTAAGCTTTCTCACAAACTACCTCTTTTCCTTCACTTTAGAGGACAGTGAAGATTGATATACTATATGAGGACCTGAGACTAGCTATGAAAAAGACAAAATCATTCCACTCTCCTGCTCCTGATTGTAACTATCATAACATCTGCACAAACAGATTTACTTTAATGTCAGAAAAGTACGCCAGTAGCCACACTTGTCATGTTGATATAACTCTCTGTGGAAAANAAAGAGAGCTGGCCAGTTAAAAAAGGAATGCAAGATTTAAATAAGACTAATACTAACCAAAGTTTACTTGCTACTTAATCACACAATAATATGTGGTAATGGTCTGATTCCTTCACATGACACTTGAGAATGGTTACTTTTAGACTTTGAGCTACAATTCTAGCATGAGTACTGTGTATCTGTATATGAATTTGTATTAAACGACATGGGTATTTGTAATACAACATGTGTACATGTATTCTAGCACACATACACTATCAGATAAACACATTACACTTAGCTTTGCTTGTCTGAATTTGAAATCATGAACAGCGTACTTGGGGCAAATGTTTCCTCTACGAAAATATTTTTTATTAGGTACCTCAAATTTTTTTTTTAATGACTACAATTTCTCTGTACTTACTATGTCACTGGCAACTGACCAAGGTACATTGAAAAAATAGACTAAATGACCTGCTTGTCTCTACCACAGGTCGAATACTCTTTATGACTAGGGCTCAGGTCATTTTAAGTCCATTTAAGAACATAGCCTGGACAACAAACCCATATCCTCAAATTTCCATTTAAAATCTTTGTCAATCTACCCAAATAGATTTTTACAGGTGGCCAAACAAAAAGAAATAAGCAGAACATTAGTAGTTTAATTTTTCCACTGCAATTTATTACTTACGTTCGATTTTTCTCTTCATCCTGGGACATACAAAGAACCAGACGATAAGGGCACAGAAAACTGCACAGCCCACCGAGATGAGGATGGTACCCCACAGAGGAAGTTTGTCAAAGCCCAGCACTAGGAGATAAAATGGTGCATCTTGAAAACCCCAGGGCAACGGCCCCCTGCAATAATGTGTAAACCCTCCTCTGGGGACTCTGAGGGGTTCCCCAAGCCAGCCCATCACCCTCGACAGCTGCTGTCGGCTAGAATTCCGCAGGGCTTACTGTGCTAATGGCTACACAAATTTGGGAGAAAAAACCAGTGATCATAGTAAACACACCTCAGCTTGGTCCACCTGAACATCTGCTAGACTCAAGTGCTCTAAGCTTTCTCACAAACTACCTCTTTTCCTTTCTTCACTTTAGAGGACAGTGAAGATTGATATACTATATGAGGACCTGAGACTAGCTATGAAAAAGACCGATCATAGTAAACACACCTCAGCTTGGTCCACCTGAACATCTGCTAGACTCAAGTGCTCTAAGCTTTCTCACAAACTACCTCTTTTCCTTCACTTTAGAGGACAGTGAAGATTGATATACTATATGAGGACCTGAGACTAGCTATGAAAAAGACAAAATCATTCCACTCTCCTGCTCCTGATTGTAACTATCATAACATCTGCACAAACAGATTTACTTTAATGTCAGAAAAGTACGCCAGTAGCCACACTTGTCATGTTGATATAACTCTCTGTGGAAAAGTTCTCTTTGAAAGCATGACCAAACTAAGATACAGAAAACAGATTTGTCTTTCAAAAAAGGAAAAGTTTAGTAGTAAAATAGTTTAAAGTTTTGTCTTTCAAAAAAGGAAAAGTTTAGTAGTAATTTCACTAACAAGCCTTATCTTAAAAAGAAACTTATCTACCAACACTTTTCACATGGCTCAAGGATCAGTAATAGCCATAAAGTGTTACTTGCATGCCAATAGAGTCCAAGCTGCTACCCTGTACTAAAGACAGAAATAAAGCATTATACAATCCTATGTAAGCCTGAAAGATGCTATAATGATCTGCAGTTTATACAATAGCTCAGTTACTTATACTCATTTTGCTTTATTTTCCTTATTAGATATTAAATTACTTTGAAAAATGGAAATTCTATTGCCCACCCCCAAATGATTAATCTTTAAAAATCAGAAATAAATTGAGGTTCCCCTCAAAACTAAAGTTCTATGGTGACTGTCATTTCATTTTAAGTGCTTTCAATACTGATCACGTATTCATACAAACTAAAATATACATGAAATTTAATCAATCTCTAATACAATTTACATCTGCTATGTTCCAAGTCAAAACAGGAAATGAAAGACGTGTTTTTCTTATAAATGATCCATACAGGACAAAACAAAAATATGAAAGTTTCCATTTTCAAAAACAATTGAAATTTTGTTTCTAATTTCACTTAACTATGAGCTTTGCTGCTATCACATAAAACATAAGTGCTTAGAGGCTCATGGGAGACTTTTCAGTTCAGCATGAAGGAGAACTCAATTTACAACAGCATGGAAATTTGGCATACAAGTTTTTTTTCATTGCACCATTTGGTAAGGAGTCTGGTATCCCATAAGATCAATATTCTTATAAAGCTGTGTTTCTTTCCTGATTATTCCAAGAATAAAGGCAAGGTTAAAAATATTTAGTTCAATCCATTTTGCTCAGTGACATTACTTCAGTGAGGTTTAAGAAGCAAATCACAATCCATTAGTCGGAAATGAAATCAATATAGTGAGCCACAATGAGCATTAAAAAAAACCTAAAAAGAGTATTTCAAAATATGAGCACACAGTACATAGTAAGAATAAGTGGCTTCATAACACTATTCCAGTTATCTTTCTCTCTCTGCATGTGTGTCCTGGGCAGCAACATACAATATATTTCTTCCAGTGGGTCACCATCAAGAGATTAAATGCCACTGACTACACAGACACAGACCACCAAGCCAAGCAAGCCTAGATACCAAAACTGTACTGTCCTGACGACAAGTTACAAGTTATCTACCTTTTGTAGCTGCTAAATTAACCATGTAGCACCATAATTTAATCCGTGCCTTGCCTTAGTCCCAACACGAAAATATTTCAACCATATTCTCACAAATTATTTTTCCTCTCAGCTGCATGAATTCTTCTTCCAAGTGCACTTAGACCAGGTGTTAAACATCCCAACTCTTCTCATTCAAGCAGATTCAGGGAGTAAATTTAGTACTTAGAAACAAAAGTAGCTCCGTTTGGGAGAGAAAAATGAGAACATCCAGCAAACCAGTCCTAGATGACTGACTATTGAAGACCACGTATAACTAATGACTCTTCAGTAGTGGAGATCAGTATCAATTCCAGCATTTTTAGCATAGATAGGAGAAAGGGAGGGAGAAGATCATATTATCGGTGAATCCTGTGAAGACTAAAGAGGAAAGGTCTGCAGTGATTTAGAATCTGAGCAGGTCTCTTTGGTTGAAAAACTATCTAGGTTAACTCAGCATACACTAGCCTGCAGCCTTCTGAAATGGGCGCAGGCCAGCCACCTTCTAGGAGATTTCAGCCCTGTAAAGCAAAAAGGGGTAAATTGGGCATTTAATGCAAGTTTTGTAAACAACTTTAAATTCACATTTAGATATTTTGATATACACTTACACGGTGCTCCAGTATACATGATGGAAAAGAGGTTTATTCCAACTGTGCAGGCATAGAAAACTGGCAAAGCTCGCAAACCATTAGGGACAGGATTTGCCTGTAAAACGATTAAGATCAAAATCTTAAAAGCTGTAAGTTAACCCACTTCCCACAGGACCTTGTAACGGAGCAGGTTCAGGAATTACAGTGCCATATTACTCTCCACAGTAGTTTCCAAGGCCAAATAGGCTTTTCCTTTGCAGTTGCTCCTGGAAGTCTCCCTACAAAGGTTAATTCCACCTTCTAACTACAGATTTTATTTTTTTTTTGTTGTTGCTATTTTTAATATGAAGTCTACCTATACCAGTGACTGATAACGTCCTGAATAATCAGTTGGTTAATTCCACCTTCTAACTACAGATTTTATTTTTTTTTTTTTTGCTATTTTTAATATGAAGTCTACCTATACCAGTGACTGATAACGTCCTGAATAATCAGTTTCAGTACCCATGTTCTAAGGTATCTGAAGTCCACATGTAAATCTGAGCACATGCCTGAGGATATATTACTATATTTGTAACAGATGTCAAAAAACTGACTATGAGATATTAGAACACTGCCTACCTGGCTTTATACTTTCAAAGATTTATTGAAAATAAAACATGGAGAATATACCTGCAACCACCCATCTTATCTCAACATCTGATAAATATGCCATAATTAATGCTTTGCCAAAATGCAAAGATAAAAATCAACTGTGCACTAGGTCATCCACTCCTTCAACAGACTGTGTGCCAAGCACTATTCTGGGCACTAAAATATAGGAGGGAATGAGAACAAGTTCCTGTCCTCACAGAACTGACATTCACATTCTAGTATGGGATAATAAAGTACTGAAAAATGCTGTGAAGAAAAATAAAAGGTAAGGTGACAGTGATGGAAGGAGGGGCATATTTTAATTCAGGGGGGTCAGGGAGTGAGCATCAGCTGAGCAGAAACTTGAATGTAGTAAGCCAACAAGCCATGTACATTAACTAGGGGTAGAGAAGCCAGCCACCTGGCTACTTAGAGGTTGAATGTTCCAGATATCTGGAAGTACAGAGGCCCCAAGGCAAAAACTTGAAATGTTTAAGGAACTGCAAGGCCAATATGACTGAAAATGAGTTCCACTTACAATGAATGTACATTAATTCTACAGGAAAACACCCAAGTCAAACGTTTAAAGAATGGGAGCACAGATCTGAATAAATATATGAGATGGCCAAACTCTAAAGACCTTAGCCTAAAGGTTTAATGCTATCATGATCAAAATTCCAACAGAAAATCTTAGAGGGGAAAAGATAGAGGGAAAGACCCAAAGTGATCTAAAGAGTCTGACAAGAATTATCAAAACACTGGGGAGACGGAGGTACCGGCTTAACATCAATGAAACAGAAGAGAAAGCTCAGAGAACCATGGGTGGAGTTCAGGTGCCCTGTCAATCAGGAGAGACAGGCCATCATTGAAAACCACTGTGACTCAAAGGTACAGAGAAAAAAAAAAAAACACAAAAAAGCCACTGTGAATTTTACCTCTTATCCACTGTTTTAAAAAATGTGAACAGATAGCATGTTCAGCATCCCTGAATAACTCAACAGTGCTGGTCACACCCTGAGGGCAGTTAACAAGGTTATGAACCTGAACAGAATATTTTTCTTCCAAAGACTATCCATAGTTATAAGAAAATTCTCCCAAAAACCTAAGGCATTCCCCCACAAAAGGTTAAAACCCACTAGGGTTCTATAGACATTATGTGGGGACTTCCCTTAACAGCTTTCCAAAGACTATTTGGCAATATGGTTATTACAAATCAAAGTGTAACTGACTGGTCAGAGTTAAGTAGCCTATGCTCAATCAACTATTCCCTAAGGTAAACAAACAATACTAGTTAGGAATGGGATAGGGAATGAAAGACACTACAAATAGTTTATTATACAATAGAGGCGCATGGTTTATTTGTT